TGTAGACTTGACTAGTATGGACATTTCATCCATGGAGTCACACAATATGTAGTCTTTTGTGACTGGTTGCCTTCATTTAACGCAACATTTTTTTAAAGATTTTTATTTATTTATCTTTAGAGGGGAAGTGAAGGAGAGAGGAGGAGAAACATCAATGTATGGTTGCCTTTTGTGTGTCCCCTGCTGAGAACTGGACTGCAGGGAACCAGCCTGCAACTCAGGCATGTGCCCTGACAGGGAATCGAACCTCGATTGTCTGGTTCGCCGCAGGCCCGCGTTCAATCCACTGAGCTACACCAGCCAGGGCTTAATGCAACATTTTTAATGTTCATCCATGTTGCAGCTTGGATCAGTACTTCATCATTCTTTATTGTCAAATAATATCCCATTGGATGCACAGGCCATATTTTCCTTATTCATCGATGAACATTAGAGTTGTTTCCACTTTTTGGTTATTAATGAACAATGCTACTATGAAATTTTTACTAACATATTTTTTAAAAGATTTATTTATTTTTAGAAAGAGGGGAAGGGAGAGAAAAAGAGAAGGAGAGAAACATCGGTGTACGAGACGAACACACATTGGTTGCCTCTCACAGGCCTCCAGCCAGGGACCTGGCCCGTAACCCAGGCACACGCGGGAGCAGAAATCAAACAGATGAACCTTCGGTCTGCACAGCGACACCCAACCCAGTGAGCCCCTCTGGTCAGGGACACACGCCAATGTTTGTGTAGACGTATATTTTCAGTTCTTTCGGGTATCAAGAGCGGGATTGCTGGGTCATACAGTAACTGTGTTTAACTGCCAAACTTCTCCAGGGGGCTGCTCTCTTTTATATCCCACCAGCTGTGTATGAGGGTTCTAATTTCTTCATGTTCCCATCAACGCTAATTATTATCAGTCTTTTAAAAAATATATTTTATTTGTTTCTTCTTAGAGAGAGGGGAAGGGAAGGAGAAAGAGAGGAAGAGAAATAGCAATGTGTGGTGGTTGCCCATAGTGTGCCCCCCACTGGACACCTGGCCTGCAACCCAGGCATGTGTCCTGACAGGGAATTGAACCAGTGACCCTTTGGTTCGCAGCCTGCATTCAATCCAGTGAGCTACACCGGCCAGGGCTATTAACTGTCTTTTTGATTATAGGCCATTCTAATAGATGTGAAGTAGCATCTCACTGTGGCTTTAATTTGTATTTCCCTAATGACTAATATATGAAGGATCTTTTCATGTGCTTGGTAGCTGTTTGTATAGCTTCTTTGGATAAATGTCTATTTACATCTTTTACCTAATTTTCAATTATGTTGTCTTTTTATTATTGAGTTGTCTTACTTATATATCCTAGATACCAGTTCCTTAACAGAGCTATGATTTTCTCTCATTCTGTGGATGACCTTTTCATTTTCTTGTTGCATCATTCACATCGCAAGTTTCTGGTTCTGATCAAGTCCAGTCTATCTAGTTTTCCTTTGTCGTCCGTGACACATTTAAGAAAGTTTTGTCTAACTCAAGGTCATGAAGATTTCATTCTGAGAGTTTTATAGTTTTAACTCACACATTTAGGTTTATGATCCTCTTTGAGTTAATTTTTGTGAAGCATGTGAGGTAGGGGTCCAATGTCATTATTTTGCATGGGAATCCCCAGTCACTCCAGCACCATTCATTGAAAAGACTGTTCCTTCCCTCACTGAATTGCCCTGGCAGCTTTACTATAAAATTCAACTGGCTGTGAATGTGAGGGTTTGTTTCTGAACTCTCAGTGCTGTTCCATTGATCTCTATGTCTCTCCTCATGCCAGTATCATGCTATCCTGATTACTGTAGCTTTGAAGTAAGTTATGAAATTAGGAAGTGTGAGTCCTCGATCTTTATATCTTTATTTTACTTTTCCAAGATTGTTTTGGCTGTTCTTGGTTCCTTGCATTTCCATATGAATTTTAAGATGTGCTTGTTCATTACATACATATATATATATGGTTTTGATAGGAATTATGTCCATCACTGTGGAGAGTATCATCATCTGAACAATATTAAGTCTTCCAACCCATGAAGGGATCTTTTCCATGAGATATTTTTTCCACCCCATGAGATGACTTTATTTTGGTCTTCCTAACTTTCTTTCAGGAATGTTTCTTGTTTAGTTTTCAGAGTACCTTGCGTTTCTTTTGTTTAATTTATTTTTATTTTTTTATTGTTGTTCAGGTACAGTTGTCTCCATTTCCCCACCACCACTTCCCCCCACCCCAGCCGTCCCCACTTCCCACCCTTGACGCTAACCCCCTCTGGTTTTGTCCATGTGTCTTTTATACATGTTCCTGAAAAAACCCTTTCCCTTTTCCCCTCCATTATCCCCTCCCACCTCCCCTCTGTTTACTGTCAGTTTGTTCTTAATTTCAAAGTTGTTCAATTTATTCTCAAGTATTTTGTTCTTTTTGGTGAAATTGTTTTCTTAACTTTATTTTCAGATTGTTCACTGCTAGTGTTTAGATACAAGTAGTTTTTATACATCCTTGTATTTTTGACAAGTGCTTGGTACCCCATCATTGTATTGTCATCATTTTCCCAATCCCCAATTGATGAATATTTAGGTTATTTCCAGCTCTTTCCTAATAAAACCAGTGCTGCGATGCCTCTCCTTGCACATACTCATGAAGTCTCAAGCATTCTCATCTTTTCTTTTTCTTTGATCTCCTACAATCGTCAGTTACCACCACCCTGGTTACTGCCACCATCATCTTGACCTTGGATGACTGCCTCAGCCTGCTTACTGGATTCACCACTTCCCTCTGGCCCCTCCACTCCATTCTCCATCCAGCAGGGATCCCTCTAAAACACAAGCCAGTGTGGTTTGCTCCTGTGCTCAAAACCCTCCAATGGCTCCCGTCTTGTGTCAATTAAAGCACAAGGTCAATACCAAGACATTGATGGCCTCCCAATCTGGCCCCACTACCTTTCCAACAGCATCTCTGTTACTCTCCCAAACACCCACTGTGTTTCAGCTGCACTGGCCTCCTTACATTCTTCAAATAAACCAAGTGCTGTGGCACCTTTGCTATTACTATTCCTTCTGCTTTGAACACAATTCCCTCAGAGTATCGCATGACTTATTCCCTCAATTCAGTCTCTGCTTCCCTACGCCTCCTTTTGGGAGGTCTTCCCTGACTGTCTCAAGTCACACCATCACTCTCTTCCCACCCCCACTCCCTCTCTCCTTGCTCCGCTTTATTTTTTCTTATAATCCTTACCATACTTGAACATAACATGTTAGTGATTCTCACAATGACTCACTGAGGTAAACACTATTATTATTTCCATTTGACAATCGAGGAAACTGAAGTCAGAGAGGTGACATGATTTATGCGAGATCACTCAGCTGACACATGGTAGTGCCAGGGTTCCAACTCTAGCGTGACTCCAAAGATGCAGCATTCAACCCCACTTCCAGTGATCAGCCATATTCGCCATGACAATGAATAAATGAATGAGCAGACAAAATGTTTGCCACCCCAAATACTGGTAAGGCAGTGTTTTAGGATAAAATTTATAATTGTATAAATATTTTTGATGCTAATATGTGGTGGTGGTTTACACAAGGGTATATACATTTGCCCAAACTCACCAAGATGAATATTTATAATGGTGCGTTTTATTTATAAAAGCATTCCACATTAAAACTGATCGGAACTTTGGGAACATGTACAAGGATTTATATTGCAGCATTACGTTAATAGCAAACAAAACAAAAAAGGCGGGAGGAGGTGATGGCCGTTAACAGGATAATGTTTCGGCTGTGGGTGGTCCATTGCCACCACAACGGCAAACTTGTGGAAAAAGATAGCTGACGATGGCCCTCTCATGTCCCCAGAACCATCATCTCTCTTTTTGGCGGCCGGACTTCTCGCATTTTCGAAGTCCTCTGAACTGCCGGGAGACCTGCCAGGAATGAGCGGGAGCGGTTCCTGCGGATGAGGAACTTTGCATGGGGTTTGAATGGCTCCGGGCCCGGGAGTAGAAACTGCAGGACGCGCAGGGTCTGGGAGGGGCGGGGCCCTGGGGAGGGGCGGGGCCAGAAGGACCGGTCGGGACGGGCGGGGGCGGATCAGAGTGCGGGGGGAGGGGCGACTAGAGCCCAGTCAGAGCTGGGATGGAATCCTTTGATGGCCGGAGCGGGGCGGGCAGGGCTGGGCGGGTAGCCCCTGGAGAGCTGGGCTGGAATCTGTGGATGGACCGGGTTAGAATCCGGAGGCGAGGACTCAGATCCTCTGGGAGCGAGGCCGGGATCCCTGAGGAGCGCGTCTGGCATTCCGGTGTTGGGGTTACAAATCTTGAGGGCGGGTTAAAGTCCCTTGAGGAGAGGGCTAGGATCCTTCTCTTGGCCGGATTAGAATCCTTGCGGCAGGATTAGAAACCTCCGGTGGGTGAGGTTAAAGACCCCTCGAATGTGGGATTCAAAATCACTTGGGGCAGAGTTAGGATCTTGGGAGGAGGAGGTGCGGGCGTTAGGGTTCTTGCGGCTGGAGGGAGGTGGATTAAAACCCTGGGGGTGGGGTTTAGCCCCTTTGGAGACAAGGTTAGAGGAATTAGAATTCGTTAGGAGAGGTGTTGGGATCTTCGGGAGAGAGGTTAAAATTCTTGGGGGCGGGGTTAGCCGTCAGGGACACGGGGGAATCCGTGGGGACTGGGTTAGAAGCCTCGGATGGGTTGATGTTCAATCCTTAGGTGGCGGAATTAGGGTCCTGGGGGCGGGGTTAGAGCCTCTCGGGGGCGGGGTCAGCAAGATTCGGGGCGGGGTTAGTGTTTCCCTCGGCGCTGCTGAGGCGCCCAGCTGGCCTGTGGCGTCCCAGGTTCTAGCCCGGGCGGACCGCCCAGGCACAGAGGCCAGCGGGAGCCGGACTCGGACGGTTCAGCTCGAGGAGCTTTAAGAGACTCGCGGCACGGAAGCCCCTCGGAGGGCCGCCTTAGCCGCTTCTTCAAAGTCAGTCCGTTTTCCTCCGGGTACCGGTTCCCCGGGACTCCGGGGGCTGCTGAGCTGGGGGGGCGCTCCAGCTGCGAGGACCCGGGCAGCCCGCGGGACGGGGAGCGGGCGCCCAGGTGAGTGTCGCGGACGGAAAGACGTGGGACGCCGGCCTGCGAGGTCGGCCTGAGGGTCTCCGGGCCGTGGCAGAGCAGGCTGCGGTGCAGCGGGCGGGGGGACCGTCGGGGGAGCGGCGGACGGGCCGCGGGACGAGGGGCGGATCCGGGGAGCGAGCACCCAGCTGAGTGAGGGGCGGCTTTGCTTAGCCGCCACCCTGGGACGCGGGAGCGCGGGGTCAGCTCTGGCCGCGAGCGCCTTCCTGCTGGAGCTGCAGCTTCTCTGGGCCGTCCAGGTTCCCCTTCTGCGAAAGAAGAAGGAAAAAAAAAAAAACGAGAAGGAAGGGATGGGGCTTCACGAAGCCGAGAGGGGAAGCCCTTACAGGCGCCCGGTGGGGGTTGGGGACGAGTCACGGCGGGCTGGCAGCGGTCGTAGGGAAGGGGCAGCTGGTCGTAGGCGTGACACCCCAGCCACACCCAGGCGGGGCTGCAGCTGAGAACCCTCGCTGCGCTCCCTTCTCCTCCGCGGTGCCCCATCCCTCCCAGGTCCGGGTCAAACCCCGGAACCTCATGGACTGCCCTGACCGCCAGGTGACCTGCCTCTTCACTTTGCGTGAAACAGTGGGCAGTGCTCTCTTCTCTGAATTCCAGTTTCCTCATCTGTCAAATGGGGCTATTGATTCTCTCTTCCAAGGCTGCAGCGAGCTAGTCCGTGAGAGGTCCTGGAGGTGACAGTGGTTTCGTGTCCTGGTTAAGGAAGGGGGCTTTGGGGAGCAACTTGCCTGTGGGACTTGGGGCAGGGGGTTGGCTTTCCAGTGCCTCCATTTCCAGAACTGTGGGATGGGGATGATGATAATAGTGGCTCTCCCTCACAGGGCGGCTTTGAAGATTAGATTGAGTTACTGAAGGAAAGGTCTTAGAGCACTGCCTGACAAGTGTTCATGCTTAATATTAACTACTGCACCAGCATAGCTATTATGGTGTAGTCCTAATCTGTAGTCAGATTGTCCCAAGTGTTTGCTACAACGAACAATACTGCCCGGACCACCTGGATGTGCTAGGACCATCCTGGATGTGTGTCCTTGGGCACGTGGGCAGGTGTTTCTTGGGGAAAATGCCAAAAGCTGGATGGTTCTCCAGAAAGGGCACCTGTGGCCCTCTCCTTTCGTGGGAGAGGAGGACTGAGACCTGGAAGGGTCACCCAGAGGGTCTGGGGCAGAGAAGAGAGGAGACTCCAGCTCTGCTGCCTCCCAGCTTTCTCTAGACCCAGGGCCACTGTACCAAGTCTCCTGTTCTCCGCTGCAGGAGGGCAAAGAGCTTCATCTGCCTCCACTGTGCCTGACACTTAGTAGACGCTCAAACCATGGAAGCATTTTTTTTAATTTGGATAACAGTTTATTTTTATGTAATCTTCTTTTCTATGCACTTTTATTTTAACATAATTAGTAAAATGCTGGATATACAATTTTTACCCTACTTGCTCACTTAGCATTACATTGTAAACATTTTTCCATGTTACTAAAACACCTTTGAATTTTTAGGGCTGCACAATATTCCACTGTTTGGGTGTACCACCTTTTGTTTAACCATCCTAGCAAAGCACTTTTATGTAGTGATATTTTTAAGCAAAACTTACATAACATAAGATTAACTATAGCCATATCGCAGTACTCCTTGGCTTTAGAACTCATCAAACCCCGTGCTCATGGCATTTTGATGAGAAAACCGTGTTTCAGCACCCAGCGCTTGCTCGGGACTTGTCACACTTGCTCGGGACTCATCACACTTGCTAGAACTTGTGTGAGTCACAACGCTGCCCCACAAGAGAAAATTCTTCATCGTTCAGGACTCATCAGTTCCAGCGCTGGTCACGATTCTTAAATTAACGACCAGCACCGAGGTACCCCTGTTCTTTAAGGTGGACAAATCAGTGGCATTTCGTACAGCTACCATATTATACAACCACCACATTTACGTAGTTCCAAAACATTTTCATCCCCCCCGAATGAAACACCATGCCCATGAAGCAGTTACTCCCAGGCCTTCCAGTCCCAGCTCTTGGCAACTACCAACCTACTTTTAGTCTCTATGGATTAATGTCTTTTGGACACTTCCTATGAATGGTATTAGACAAACTCGACCTTTGGTGTCTGGCTTCTTTCACTTGACATAACGTTTTCAAAGTTCAGCCACACTGTAGCGTGTATCAATATTTCATTTCATTTTGTGGCTGAATACCATTTCATTGCATGACTAGGGCACATTCTGTTTATCTGTTCATCTGGAGATGGAGGTTTGCCTCGTTCCCACCTTTTGACTGGTGTGAATGATGCTGCCATAAACATACATGTACGTGTATTTGGTTGAGCACCTGTTTCAGTTCCCTTGGGTAGAATCCTAGGACTGGAATTGCTAGATCGTATAGTAATTGCACATTTAATTTTCTGAGGAATCTCCAAATTGTTTTCCACCATTTTACAGTCTCATCAGCAGTCTAGAAGGGTTCCAGGTTCTCCACATCCTCACCAACACTCACTATTTTCCTTTTAAAAAATCATCATCATTATCATTATAGGTCACCCAGTGGGTGTGGGAAGCATAAACCTGAATCTCACCCCAACCAGACAGGCTGCTGTCTGGAGCCGTTGCCCCGGAGATAGAGGAGAAAGTTATTTTCATTCAGGGGACTGGCAAGGGCTGGACTTCAGACTCTTCTAGAAAGTAAGTACCACCTGGGCATAGATATGCTGCCCCCTGAACCACTGTGTCTTTAATACCCGGCTCCTGAAAGAGTGGGGCCTCAAAAACATTGAGTGTAGCAATTTTAAACAACCTCTCTCACCCCTTGCCTGAGAGGTGTAGTTCATCCAACCCTCCGCAGCCATTCTTTTGAATGAGTTGCTAACATTTGAAGTGGAGACAGCAGACATAAACCTGGCTTTCTGTCTTCTCTCGGAGACCTGGAAAGGTTAGCAGTCCTGGGACTGAGACCTCTGTTGCCCATGCTTCTCTGTTATTTCCTCATGGCAGTGCTGGTGAAGCTGAGAGGGGGCTGCCCCAAATGGCCCCTGCACTGCCTAGTTTTCCCCACCCTTGCCTGGACCACTCTCTTCAAGTGAACAGCCCCGTGGGCTCCCACAGCCATTCAGGTCTTTAAGCTCCGTCCCCCAGTCATGAGGAGGCTTCCCTTTTTTTTTAAGTGTTTGTTTATTTATTTATTTATTTATTTATTTAATTTGTTAGTTGATTAGTTAGTTAGTTAGTTAGTTAGTTAATAGAGAGGGGGGAAGGCAGGGGGAAAGAGAAGGGGAGAAAGAGAAGGAGAGAAACATCAGTGTGAGAGAGAAACATCCATTGGCTGCCTCCCGCGCGTACTCCGACTAGGGACTGAACCCACAACCCAGGCACGCTCCCTGACCAGGAATCAAACCAGCAACCTTTTGCCTCGCAGGCTGATGCCCAACCAACTGAGCCATACCGGTCAGGTCAAGGCTTCCCTTTCTATAGAAAAGGAACATTGTGCCCAGAGAGGGTAAGCAACTTTCCCAAAGCCACACAGCTAGTTAGTGATACAATCTCTCTTAGTCTCCATCTTTCTCAGCAGACTCCCACAACACTTTGATCTTCACCCTGTTTCTCCAGTTTTTTCCACCCCAGGACTGAAAGGTCCAGTGGATTCTCAGAGGCGTGGGTAATGATGCAGAAGATACCCTTGCTTGAATGTAAAGTGTGCCTTTGTTCTTGGCCAGTGTCTGTGGCCACACATGCTGCACCCTCTGCATGTCACTGCACCCTCTGGATGGCACTTGCATTCCTAGTTCTGCCCTAGGACACCTGCCTGCACTCCCACCAGCACCCTGAAATCCGTTGGCCCAGGAGACTTAGGTGCAGCCGAGGGGATAGGAGGCCCTCCCCCATCACTACCGGGACATTGGAGAACAGCAGACAGAGCACAGGAGACTTGAGTTTGAGTGTCCACGTTGCCTCATATAAGTTGCGATGAGCTGGGCAAAAACCTTCCCTTTCTAAGTCTCAGTTTTCTCACTTGACAGATGGGAACAGAACAGCACTACCTCACAATTCATGCAGTACAATTCCTTTGATGTTAATATACAGAAAAACACACTCCATTGTTTCCATGGCTATATATGTCTAAGCTTGCATTTCCCCAGAAGCAGAGCCAAGCAAAGACTTCAAATGTGCTTACCTTTTAGTTTATTTGGGAGCTGATCCTAGAAAACCCTGGTAGGGGAATGGGGAAACAAGACAGAGAGAGAAGGCAGCCTACAGAGTGGCGTGTTATCAGGACAGTCACCCCTGTGGGTACCTGGAGCTGAGTTCCACTAGGAGCCCTGGGAGGCTGTGAACAAGCCCAAGAGGTGAGGGAACGGCTCCTGTCAATCACTGGTTGAGGGCTTTTCCCTGGGGGTGGGGGTAATATTTCTCTAGCACTTCAGCTTGCCAATCTCCTGGGCACAGCGGGTACCAGTGGCCACAGAGAAGTCTCCTGGGCAAAGAGATACAGGTCCTGGCAGCTGGGAGTCCAGTGAGAGTGGTCCCAAATGGGAAAGGGCGGAGTGGCAGCATCTGCTTCTGTAAGCGGGTGTGGAAGTGCAGGGCACAGGCTACCTGGATGGGGAGGGCGTGGCCATGGAGGCCCGTGCCGGGAGGAGTCCAAGGGTGCCTTAGGTTTATCTGTAATGTTTTCATTGTTAACAAGGATGATGTGCTGTGTCTACTAGGTGATGAAAGCTAATTTCAAAAACAATGCATACTCTCCAAACAATAAAGAAATTGAGGTTTTATTACTTTTCAACTATTAAAAAAGGGTCAGAACATGTGCTATTGTGGCTATGAGGTTTCCCTTGGCAGAGGGACAGACAGGGGGACAGCTGGCCTTGGAGCATGGAAGGAGGTTAGAGTGAAAAGTTGCCCCAGGGGCAAACTGGCCACCGTGTCCTGTCTGCAGGGGACAACCTCCATGCAGATCAAGTCAGGGAAAGATTTTGTTCTTCTCCAAGCACAGAGGAATAAATGCAGACAGCTGTTCTCAGTTTAAACAGGGAAAACTGGGGCCCCAGGAAGCTAAGGAGACTTCATTCAATTATTCAAGAATTTACTGAGCATCTACTATACCCTAGTAAGACTGTATCTCAGAAAGGCTGGAATACGGCAGTGTAGAAAACAAGCCGTTACCCCCATCTATCTCACAATCTATGGGGGAAGGAGAGATGATAAACAAATCTATAGGTAATATATTAGGTACATTAGTTCAGGCCCTTTGAGAGGCAGACTCTCAGAGATATTAAATATACAAGAAATTTACTAGAGGAGATGCCTGTGGGAGAAACGAGGAGAGGCTGGGCGAGCTGTCACGTGGCCAGGCATGTGGCCTGGAAGTGCCACAGGAAGAAGACTCCACAGGAAGAAGAAAGGGAAGGTGGAAGTGTCTTAGGCTGCAGTGCAGTTCTAAGGAAAGCCTGAGAAGGCTGCTAAGGAGCCCTTAGCCAAAGTCTCCAGTCACAGGTCCCCCTGGCCCGGGCCTGCCTCAGTATCCCTGCGACACCCAGCCATTGGCTGGGAGCAGCCCAGGGCTGGACTTCACAGCACGGCAGCTGGGGCCACTGGTCAGTTCCACTCTGCAGAAGCAGGCGAGACCGGAGAGGCCCATCCCGGTGGTCACCATGTTAGGTGGCGGTTAAAGCCAAGAAGGGTACAGCTGGGGAGAGGCTAGAAAGCGAAGGAGGCTGTGGGTGGGTGCTCCTGTCTCAGGCAGGGCGGTGAGGGAAGACCCCTTGAGAGACCGAGGACTGTGAAGAGACCCGGGTGGAGAACACTACAGAGAGCAGCAAGTGCGATGGTCCTGGGGTGAGAGTATGGCTGGGGAGTTGAAGGATGGTTAAGGCCAGTGTGGCTGGAATGATAGGATCAGGAGAGGGCCGGAAGGAGACAGGACGGTGAGGTTGAGCCTCACCCGCCATAGAGGGAACTTGGGCTTTTATTCCAAGTGAGACGGGAGCCCCAGGAGGTTTTGAACGGGGGAGGGGTGTGACCTGGTTTAGATTTTAAAAGGCTTACTTGCTTATCTGCAAAAGGCAGAATGAGGATCCAAACCCAAGTCTTTCTGACTTCAGATCCCATTCTACATTTGTTCCCAAACTTTCCTGCTGATTTCTCAGGAAGTTCACAGCTATCCTTGAATTCTGGAGTTGGCCAGGTGACCTGGAGCTAACACGGACCATGCTGAGAATTTCCTCCATGTCTGAAACAAGTTACTGGGACACGGGCAGCTCGGAGCTAACCCTCCAGTGGAGCCAGGCAAACGCCCAGAGGCCCCGAGTTCCTCTTCAGGGTGTTGCTGTCACTTGCTGTTGTCACACACAGTACGACATCACTCCCCCTCTCTGGGACTGCCGCTCCTACCTGAGTAATGGAGGTGTCTCCAGCCCCTTCCTGTTTGCAGAGTCAGAGTTTTCAGCTGTTTGATCAGAAAGAAGCTGAGGGTCAGAAAAGGGGAGAGAGGAGGAAGGCAGGGGGAACCCCAAATGTCCACCAGGGACAACAGTCACTTGGGGGCTTGGGGGGGTCCATTCAGAACACAGAGAACCTGAAGAGAGGGAGCTGTAGGACTCTAAACTCCTGGGGCTCCTCAGGAATTTGGCTCTTGATGGGGGAAGACTCATCCCCACCCCCAAGGCTGAGCTGTTCTGAGAAGATGAAGTTCCTCTAACTCGCCGGTCTTGAGCCCTGGGCCTCTCTAGCAGTCTGCCTTTCTGAGCTTCCTCTTTGGGTTCCTCATCCCACATTCCCCTCCCCACCCCAGTGCTCTGCAGCCTCTGAGGCTGACCCCAGTGGGAGATGAGACGCAGGAGAACTGGGTTCTCATTCTACCTACTAACCACCTGGGAACTCTCTCTGCATGGGCCTCCATTTCCCCATCTGAAAAATGGGCTCATAATTCTGGTTGTCGTGACTTCAGCCAAGTATGGTAAAGCTTGTAGAGGGTTGAACATAATACATTCACTCCACAAAGGTATATAGAGGGCCTAATACATGCCAGGCACTTCTGGGGCATGGCTTCAGTGCCATCTGCTTTCTGAGGCTCATATTCCACACATCCTCACCGACTCTAATGGCTCCTGCACCCTCTACTTCTCTTCTATCAGAACACACTATCAAGGAAGTCTTTGCCACGCCCTGGTCCGATAGCCCAGTGGGTTAGAGTGTAGTCCTGATACGACAAGGTTGAGGGGCTTGCTTCCTGGTCAGGGCGCAAAGATCAATCAACCAATGAACGCACCCATAAGTGGACTAGAAAATACATGTTTTTCTCTCTCTCTCTGTCTCTGTTTCTATCTCAAATCAATACATTTTAAAAATATATTTAAAAAGGAAGTCTTTGCCATAAGCTATTTACCCTTGAGTATGAATTACAATCCCTTGTAAGAATTTCCTCTGTCCCAGGCAGGACTCTTTGAGGTTTAAGGGGACAAAAAGGCAATTCGAACTGACTCCAGCAGAGGAAAAATGTTATTGGAAGGTCAGTGAACACATGAGCTTCAGGCAGAGCTGGATCCCAGGGCTTGAGAATCTGTATTTCTCCATTTCTTGGCTCTGCTTTGCGACTACAAGACTCTTTTCCAGCCAAAAGCCAAAGTAGAACTCTCACTGGCCCAGGCTCAGCCATATGCCCACCCCTGCTTCTGGTAACTGCAACTCTGATAGGGCAGACTCCGTCACAGACCCACCCCTACTGCCAAGGGTTGAAGTCAATTCTACCCCAGTCCATGAATTGAGAATGAGGGAGAGATGGTTCCCCAAGGAAAATTGGGGAGCTATTGTCAAAATAAAGGGAAGCAGATACTATGCAGGAAAAAACTGTAGCTGTCCCCTTCAGAGAACTTAATCACCAAACATCTCACTTTGTATTTGGAGAAACTGGGGCCCAGAGAGGTTGAGACTTGCCTGAGGCCACACAGCACGCTTGTGGCAGAAGTGCAACCAGAATCCAGGGCTCCTCACCCTCAGTCCTCTCAGCCTCTGCTTAAACCACAAGACCATCTGCTGCCCACTCCACAGGATGCTCAGGCAGGGCTCTGCTCTCTGCCCCTTGGGCTTGACTCGAAGAGCGCAGGAGGAGTCTCTGAGCCCACGCAGCCAGCCTGGTGGCTGTGGGAAGCAGCGGGGGCAACGCAGCTGACCTCTCTCATTTCCTTCCCATGCACCAGCAGCAGCAGCAGGAGCTGAGAGGGTGAAGAACGGGTTTCAGGTTCTAGGAGTTCAACAGTGACTTGAGGAAGTGTCTTTGCCAAAGGTCAGCAGTTCTGAACTAGACCGGGACCAAAGGAGCCACTTCTGCTCTTACAGCCTGGTCTTGAACCACACTTGTTAAGAACATGTATGTTCTCAGGGGTTTTAAAAAGCCTTTCACATCCCTATCACACAGGACCTCAGGCCAAGCCTGAGAAACAAGTGCCTTCTGTTTTATAGGGAAGAAAATTAGGCTTAGAATGGGGAAGTGACTTACCCAAG